GTCTCTCACTTGCTCCTCACAATACCCTTTGCAAGGGAAGGTATCATTCTTATTTGCAAATGAAAAAAACACAGGTGTAGAGAAATAGACACCTTGCGAAGGTCATGTAACTGCTGAGATAACTGGTTGGGAAACCTGGTCCTGATGGGTGACCCAGGACTCTTTTCATTATAAATCCTACCTCCCTCTCTTTTCATAGTACTTAGTTACACTAATTAGAGCTTTTATCAGTCCCAAATTCCCAGGTGACAAAATGAACAAACTTATTCTAATGATTGTTAAATAGATTATTTTATTTTTTATTTATTTGCCCCTTCCTAACACAGAACCTTTGCAGACAGTTGTACTGAGAATGGAGGCAGTATTTATGCTGAGGAGGCTGTGAAGTACGCCACCATTGTGTGTTTAAAAAGAGGGAGGGAGATAGACAAATAGAAGGGGAGAAGAATAGGGTAAGAGTTTTTGCCTTCAGGAAGGGGAATTACATGGCTAGAGGCAGGTGTGGGGGAGGGGCTTACATTTCAGTGTAGGCCCTTTACTACTGCTTGACTAAGAAAAAATTAATGTTATTTAATTTTTAACTCTTTCGAAAACTTAAAAATTAAATAACATTAACGACAAAATAATGGTGAAAATAAGTTCACTTCTGTGTGTCTAAGGCTTTTTCTGTCTTCCCTGACCCCACACTGAGGGAAGCCTGGGCAGCATTTCACACATTCCTGAGGGCAAAAGTAATCAGAAAAGAATCAGTGGGGAATAAATGACCCTTGGAAATGAGGCAACATTTACCACCAATCATAAAATGTTATTTGTATGACACATACAAGTAGTATAACAAGAAATAAGACTTTCATAAAATATAAATATTTTCTCTTACTTAAAAAAAATGTTAGGATTTAAGAGCCAATCTTTAGTTATTTTAGTCTGTGAAAACAAAAAATTTCTCAGGGTTGCCATGAGACTTGCAGACCCTAAGGATTGGGTAATAAATACTCCCAACTTAAAATCTATCCCTCATCTAAGCTGTTCTGCATTTTATAAAGTTAATATTAAAGACTGCTAAAAGAGGTCCCTCACTGCCAGTCTTCATGCTTGTCTTTATTACATGACATGTAGGTCTGGCTCTTAGAGATACTTGGAATTAGAATTTTGATTTGTAAATACTTTAGTCAGCTCGAAATTCAGCTAAAATACAATTAAAATACAGTGACTGAGAAGCAGAATTTTGCTTGGCATAACTGTTTAACAGCAAGAGGACTTTTAAAGGCAATATAATGTAGAAAATCTGGCAAACAGGGTTAAGGACAAATTCTAGAGAGCTGGATTTTATTGGTAAGGCTTTAGGGCTTCCAAGTTTGCAGGGATGCTGTAAGGATCAACAAGAAGGTGCTTTACAATGTCTTGTCATCTAAAGAAAGCCTCTGCGTAAATACCAACGTTCTATAATCCTTTCTCTTATCCTGTGATTGTGCTCCTTAGGAACAGAGCTCAGCTATGGAAAATCGCAGGGCTGCCATTTTCTCTAGATTTTCAGGAATGGTGATTTTAGTTTCTGATCACTAGAAAACTTACTTACAAAAAGCTTCTCTTGCCAGCACATGGGAAGACAAACTAAGGGTGAGGATTAGTATCTACGGAGTATTAAGCTAAACTCATTGTTAGGAACTAGAACAGCTTAGCCAATTTCTCACAATGACAACTACCTACATTTATCTATTCCACGGGGTCGCTGATAGGCTGTGAAGCAGATTCTGGTGTCCTAGATCCACCCAAAGTCACTTCCAAACCAATTATACTCCAAAACTTAATCTGGAAAACATTTAGTTGTTCCCCAAAAAGTTAAGCATAGGATCACCTCATGACTCCTAGTGCATACTCAGAATTGAAAATAGGTACTGAAACAGATTCTAGTATACAGATGTTCACAGCTGCACTATTCACAATTGCCACAAGGTAAAACCTGCTCAAGTATACTTCAATGGATGAACAAATTGTAGTGAACACAATGGAATATTATTCAGCCACAAAAAGGAATAAAATAATGATACATGCTACAACATGGATGAACCTTGAAAACATTATGCTAAAAAGCCACAAATAAAAAAGGTCATGTATTACAATTCCATTGATATGAAAAATGCAGAATAGATAAATACATAGTGAGAAAAAGCAGTTATGCGGTTGCCAGTGGCTGAGGGGAGGGAGGGATGAAGAGTAATTGCTTAATATTGATATAAGAGTGATAAAGATTTAGAGTGATAAAAATGTTCTGGACCTAGATCGAGGCAGTGAGTGGTTGCACAACATTGTGAACTCTACTAAATGCCACTGAATTTTTCACTTTAAAGTGGTTGTTTATGTTATGTGAATTTCACCTCAAAGCCTTTTTTAAATGACCTGTCTTTAAGCATTAAGCTAGGCCCTTTGTATACACCTTATTCTTAATTTTTCATGGTAAAGTAATTTCTGACTTCAAATCAACAAAGAATCATTTTACAGTATGTTTTTTCAAAACATACTACACCCATCCTCCATGGCTCATGTGCTGCTTCCCTTAATGAAAATGTAATTTCTTATTTCACAATTTTTTAAAACAAAATTCTTGAGCTGTTACCCAGCTTGTTACGGCCCATTTCATCCCAACCACAGATAATGCAAGCTGTATTTATTTCCAATTACAATGACACATAAAAATGCAAGTGGAAAAAAATCCCTGCTGTTTTAAAATGTAACTCCAATCTCTCTCTTCCCATAAGATTTATACAAGTTCCAGAGGCTGAGATGCTAAGAAACCATGTCAGTTTTCAGAATGAGAAACTACTGAATTGATAGACTTAATATTTTAAGAACCTAACATTAGATGAGATTATTGGACCAATTACAAGACATTCAAAAGAAATGGTCCAGAGCCCCAGCAATACTTTTTTTTCTCTGTGTATAGTTTGACTATTAAAATAGAAATAGTTTTTTTTTTGGATAAGAAAAACTTTCAGATGCACAGTCATACTTACCAATGCTTATAAGTACATCTTTTATATCTAGCAGTCTTACATATAAAAATCTGAATATGGTCAATGAATTAACCTTAGTTCATAACGTTTCCGCTCATATTTAAGTGCAAAGTGAATACTTAGACATCTTTTATGTTGCTCCTGGGATCATTCTAAGTTGGGGTCTGCTCTACTCCTGAAACTACTTGTGAATGAATGTTTTGTGCTAATGGAGAACATATTTACCGGCCAAAAAGAGAAAGTCTATTCTTACCATAATTAAGAGCTTCTGGTGCTGTCCATTTAATGGGAATCTGCTTTAAGCCAGAAGATGAATACACTCCACCATCCTCTTGACGAGACATTCCAAAGTCACTGATTTTCAGAACATTATTTTCCCCTACCAGGCAGTTTCTCGCAGCAAGATCCCTAGGTTACAATAAGACACAGAAAACACCTATTAAAACAAATTGAAAGCCGCTTTCACATTCATGACTTTCACACTTTGCATTTTTACATTTGCAGTGTATTCATAATGAGGTTAAGAACGCTTGTGATTTACCAGTCTGTCCCATCTTTTCTGACAGAGGTAAAAATCATTCATGAGAACATTTGCATATGGAACAGGCCACAATGCAAATTTTCTAGGTACCACATGTATTACTTACATTTAAATAGAAAAACACCGATTCCAGGGTTAAGAGAGAAAAACCACAGAGGAGAGGCTAAGCAAACGTGGCACCATTTCCTCTCTGACTGGGTTTCCCAGAGCAGCACCACCTACCAGGAGACTGTAATGAGGGGATGTTTTCTGCCTGTGCTGTTGGATAGCTGGCTGTTAGCCATGTGTGCTGATTGAACACTTGCGCTGTGGCTAGTGGGATGGAGAAACTGAACTTTTAAACTTTCTTTTTGGTTAATTAAATTTAAATAGCTGTATGTGGCTCATAGCTATGAAGTAGTCTTTGGCAGTGTAGGATGGCAGAGGTTCAGAGAGGCTGGCTGCTGTTTTCTTTTTCTGTACATCAGGGATACAAAACACTATGTGATGCTCTGGCCCTGCCTCTGCCCACCTCAGCTTGTTCCACTCTCTCCATATTTGCTATATCCCAGCCATACTCAGCTCCCTTTTGTCCCCAGACACACAGGACAAATCTCCTAAACAGGGCAAGCTTATTTCCAGTGGAGGGCTGAGCACTCAGCTGTCCCCTTGGCCTAGGCGTTCTCCTACACTTCTGCAAAGCTGGGTCCTCTTCATTCCTTCTTAGCTCAAACCGCTGTACTTCCCAGCCTCTCCTGCAGCTTGCTATGGCCATCATCTAAGTTCTGGCCAAGGAGATACAAGCAGAAGAGTTGTCTAGAATTTCTAGGAAGTTTCTTTAAAAGAAAAGGGAAGTACCATTCCATTTCTCTCCTCAGAGAGCTCTGTCTTGACTACCCTTAACTAAAAGGAAAGGCAGCAATAAACAGAACAGACCAAGTCCCTACCCTAATTCTAGTGGGGAAGACATTCAATGATCAAATTCATGTATGTACATATACATGTTTATATCTAGATATATATAAAGTACATGACATGCACATACACACACGTGTGCAGAAAGTCAGATAACAGGTCAAATGGCAAGTGTTAAGAAAAAGAGCTGCATAAAGGGAAGAAGATTTCTAAGAGGGAATCCTATTTAGACAGGTTATTAGAGAAGGTCTCTTTGATAATGGATATTTGATCAAAGACCTGAAGGCAGTTATGGAGCAAGCCATGGGGGCACCTAGGAGAAGGGTTCAAGGTTCAAGGTAGAAGGAATAGTAGATACACAGGCCCTAAAATTGGTTCATGCTTGGTATATTCAAGGAACATCAAGGGAGCCAGTAGAGCTGGAGTGAAATGTGTAAGGCAGAGAACGGGGGATTTAATCAGAGTTGGCCAGGACCACATGATGTATGGCCTTTGAGTAGTAAGCTCCTTGGATTTTATTCAGCACGAGCTGGGAGGTACCCAGAGAGTTCTGCACACAGGAATGACATGATATGACTTATGTTTTGAAGGACTATATGCTCTGATGTGGAGAATGGACTGGCAGAACTAGAGAGACCAGTGAGGAGCCTGTTTCAGAAGTCGAGGAGAGGTGATGATAGTCTATGTTAAAATGAAAGTGGTGGAGTTGGTCAGAAGGTACCAGATTTAGGATATATTTTGAAAGGATATACAATTAACAGGATTTGCTGGTGGACTGGATACAGAATAGGAGAGAAAGAGTGTCGCAGATTACTCAAGATACGTTGACCTAAGCCATTGGAAGAATGGAGCTGACACCGAAATGGGAAACCGGGGGGAAGACCAGTCACAGAGTACCGCAAAGACGGCCAGTTGGCTCCTAATGTCCATTTCCTCCTCTTTATCAGTTAAAAAAAAAATCCTCATGTTAGCTAAATATATTTTCATTCAGTACCAACCTCCTCTGCAGCTAGATATGGCTGTAATCTAAGTTCTAGTCAATAAGACATGAGCAGAACAGTTGTCTAGAATGTCTAGAAAGTTTCTTTAAAAGAAGGAGGAAGTACCATTCCATTTCTCCCTCCCACTGACAAAAAGAGGGAGCACACTGAAAGATAGCAGGAGACAAGGAGCAAGTAGGCTGCCATGCATGTTCTGGTCTGCCTACCTCTGTGTCTTGGGATTTTTAATGTGTATGTGTGTGTGTGTGTGTGTGTGTGTGTCTTGTGTTATATGCAGTCAAAAGTAATCCAGTTCTGGGGGTGGGGAGTTGGGGTTTGGACATGTTGGGTTTGAGATGTCTATTTGATATCCAAGTAGAGGTGTTGGGTAGGGAGCTGGGTACATTAGTCTAAAGGTCAGAAGAGAGGTCTCAGAGTTGTCAGCTTTCAGATGGCATTTGAGGCTCTGGGACTGGAGAATGCTTCCAGGTAGAGCGTGAGTATAGAGAGGAAAAGAGATATTCACAAACTGAGTTCTAGAGCACTGCATAATTTAGAGAAGGGCTGAAGAAAGAAGGCTGGGAAGGAGCAGCAAGTGACGCAGGAGGGAAACCAAGAGAGCAGCAAGGGAGGCTGATGTCCTGGAGGCCAAATGAGGAAAGCTTTTCAATGAGGAACAGAAATTAACTGTCAGCTACTACTGAGAAGACAAGAATGATGAGGACTCTGAACTGGCCACTGGATTTGGCAACATGGAATTTAATAAGACACTGACTGACAAGAGCAATTTCAGTGGAGCTGTGGGTGTAAAAGAATGATTGGAGTGTGTTCAAAGAGAATGAGAAAAAGAGGGAGAGATAGTAAGTTTAGACACTTTTGAGTAAACTTGGTGTAAAAGGGTAAAGAGAAATGGGGAGGCCACTCGAGGGGGTTTCAGGTCAAAGGAGTTGCCTCCGCCAGTGGGGGTTGTTCCATGTATATGTGCAGATGGTAGTAATACTGTACAGAGGGTAAACCTAATGCAGGAAGGAAAGGTGACAACTGCAGGTGTGAAGCCCTTGAGAATGTAAGAGGTGATGGGATCCATCTGCTCTTCAGAGCTGTTTTTCCAATGCTCGGTAGAGTACTTGGTGCATAGTAGGTGCTCAGTAAATGCTTACTGAATGAATCCATACGT